CTGGCATTCTCTGACATGATGTTCTGGATGAAAGCTCGAAAGGCCTCTGCACCCTCCTTTGGTGGTGACATACCAGGATCCGGCAACAGCTCTGGGGACTCTACAGGAAGGTCTACCGGTCTGAGAGCTCTCAAAACCGCTTCGTCCTGCATCTTTTCTGACCAGAAAGGATTCCAGGAGTCAGGCCCCAGAACCACCGGAGGGCCAGCTGGCCGCATCAGCCCATCATTAGGGCCGGCGTCTTCGATCGCCTTGATCCCTGCAGACTCCGGTGTCCTTTCAGAAGCTGCGCCCTCGCTCATGGCAGCCAGGAAAAAAACGCCACACAATGAACCCAAACTGACCACCTTAAGCGCCAGTTGGGCTCATAACCTACTCAAGCAAAATCGCTCTTCTTTCTTCTAAGCACAAAAGGGCTCCATGAAAGGTAAGGTTTCAAGCGTGTTCAACCTTCATGAACAGCCAACTGCAAACACATGTGGTCGCGATGCTGTTACAATTCATTTTCATTTTCCTTCCCCACTGGAATTTGCAAGCAAGTGTCAAGTTAAACAACTACAAGCCAACATTATCTTTCCCCAAGACCCTTGAACAACTTTTAAAGAAGTCTGAATAAGAAAATTCAGGCTTTCATGAAAAGGGTGCCTACGCAAGACTGCCTACGCAAATCTTTCAACACCCACCTACGCAAAATGCTTACACGACGCCTACGCCCCAAGCAGAACAGCCTCCGCGACTTCTCAACAGTTCCCTTTTTGTATAAACCTAATCATTTGCAAAAAAAACGTGGCTCACGTAAGTCGCACCTCTGGCGGACGCCCAGGGCGGGTAGGCCGAGACGAGGTAGCTAGTAGCTTACTAGCATGGACGCAGGATAGCTCATGCTTCTTCAAGGAAGCTCCCCCTCCTTAGGGGGGGAGGCTTCCTTGAAGAAGGCTATTCATGTGGTTCCTAGATTTTGAGGGAAACTTAAGTAATGGCATCACTTCGCATCACTTCGCTTGCGCTCATGCCAAGTCTGAGCATTTTGTCCTTGGACTTGGCATGAGCCTGTGGAATTTGGACAATGACTTGACCAGAACCCCCTTTTGCCCCCCTCCCCATTCACCTGACCTGAGCTCTTCCCACTCTTCTGCATGTCGACGTTCCTGCAAGAGCAGCAACATAGGACATAGGAGCTTCAAAATGACTACGTAGATTGAGCAATTGCCATAAGCTATGAATTATATAGTGTTCCACGTATAGGCCACGCAGCAGTTCTGGTATCTGTTCACGTGCTCAAAGTTGTGCTTTGCTTGGTCCTCTTCTTCTCTTTGTCGTTTTCGCCTCCGCCCTTCCTGGCGAGCGTGAAGCTGGAAACAAGAACCCCAGCCCTTGGGACTGACGTGACTTAACTGATGGGTTCCTGCAGGCGGAAGTATGGTGGATGGAGGGGGAGGGTAGGCTTCTTCTTCACGTCACAGATTTCTCACAGCACTCGCCTCGCGCACCCGCTCTGTGCCATTCATCAAGGCACGCTGGGCCGCTTGGGCCTTCCGCGCAGCCCGCTCCTGGGCGCTGAGGCGCTGTGCCTAGACAAAGGCCGGGTTTTTGGCATAAGTTTCAACAGATGCGTGTTTCTGATGCACGATGCCCTCAATGTTTCAGTCGGTCGTTTGCTGCGCTTCCAGTTTTGAGCCTCCGCCCACATCTTCGCAAAGGGGCTTGCTGCTGGCGGCATCGGGGCTGGTCGATTGGCCTTGAGCAAAGTCCAAAATCCATCGATCAATTGCCCTCATTTACATGCTAGGAGCTTCTTACTTGCTACTAGGAGCCAAGGACGCTACTCGGGGCTCCTGGCCGTACTACTAGGAGCAAGAAGCTACTAGGGGCTCCTGGCATCGCTACTAGGAGCAAGGACACTACTATGGGCTCCAAAAGTCAAGATCAACTCATCTTCCATATTGCTGTTGGCATGACTGCGTCATAATCTGGTTGCTACCATTCATCTACGGTACAGAAAAATTGTCAAAGGCTGACTAATGGAAAGATTCTGCTTCTTCCAGCTGTTTCCAAGGCTGCTTTCACGCATGCATCAGATTCCCTTCAGCGGTCTCTATGCAAGGCGCAGGGGTTGAGCCAAGATCTTCTAATACTCCAGCAGTACTGAGCAGCTCATAGGCCTCAGTGGACTTCAAACAGAACCTCCCCTCTGTCGTCCGACCTTGGCCAACCTGCCACAAAGGCAAAAAAAGGTGACAAACAGAATTGCAAGCTTGTCCAAGAAACTGCTCTCAGACCCTGGAACTCCTCCTTGCTGCCGCCCTTGTCGGGGTGTCGCTTTCTTGCAAGGCGCCGGAATGCCTGTGTGACATCCTCCAAGGAGCACACTTTAGCGGCGGCATGGGGGTGAACAAAACATGTAGAAAACCCTCGAGACCCGAGACCCATCGAGACTCGAACATGTTTGTCTTTTAGGATGCTATTAGGTGGAGGCTAGCGCTACTAGGAACAAGATGCTACTAGTTTCTCCTACTTTCTGCGACAGCTTGGTCCTGTTCTGTACATCCAGGCTTTAGACCCAGCGTATTGAGCGCATCTCTGGCGGCAGCGGTCATGGCGACATGAGGTCTAAATTGCACGAAAGCCAGGGTCAATGGCAAGTCTCTTTGGGAGCTTGGTCTGCTACCAAAGTGTAAAAGAAAAAACTCAAATGCTTGCGCGTGGCCGTGGTGCGCATGAATTTTACTATCTGCTATTCAAAGTATGAGTCGGGGCTTCTGAGGAAGTCCGGAGAAGCTTGAGGACTTTGGAGTCTTCAAGTCAAAATGCAAAGAATGTATGGCCTGTATGGCATCTACTGAGTCTGTTGCTTGAAGCAGCGGCAAGCGCAAAAAGAGCGAGTGGCTGTGATAGCGATACTAGTGCAACACACAAATTCTTGAAGAGGCTTATGATGCTCGCATGAGTAGCTATAAAGTCGATGCTCACCTCGCTATGCATTCTTTGAACAAGAATGCTATGCTCTTCACATCTCACCAGCCAGGCACACCCATCGTCAACAGGCTTGTCAAGAGTCTACAAACTAGTGTCAAACTGTGGGCGTTGAGCCAAGCTGCGAAGCAGCTTCGATCTGCTCAGCTTGTGGAGAGGACCTGGTTCTACGGGCTGCTTCAGGCTACAATGAGCAAGAAAGAGCCAAGGTCAAGCACTTTGCCAGGCTTTTGAAACGTCTCTGTTTAAATGTATGTGTTTTAACCGAGTATACAAGTGTAAATATCCAACACATTAATACACTATATATGTGCAATCGGAAAGTCCTCAACTTCTGCAGCGAAGGCACTCAATTTCTGTAGTTCTGCCGACTTCAGCTTCCACCGGAGCCCTCAGCTGGCATCAGTTATCGGAGCCTTTGGTGTTGAAACCTTTAAACTCGACAATTGATTGACAGCGGTTCGACCACAGTCACTACAATCACTCCCCTAATAACTCTATATAAAATATGATTTGATTGGAGTGGCAATATTTATCTCATGTGGATAGGCTCCCGTACTCCTGCGATAAGCGTGGACTTCGAAAGCTTCGACGCCCGACACCGAGCTGCCGATAGCCTTCACCTGACCAAAAATACTGCTTTTGCCCCCAGATATCATTGAGCTACGAGTAACACGAGTAGTGCATTCTCCGATTTTGACGGTTTGTCTCTGTTAGCATCTTAAGAAGCTTTCACCTGATGTGCGCGCTTGCCAATCTTCGAAGGTAGTTTGTGTCCCAAGCACCGCACTGCCAAGGAGTTTGGCCACTGATGCTCGTGGCTCTGCTCGCGGCGCTTGTGGCTCTTGTGGCTCTGCTGACTCCAGGCGTATCTGAAGTTGGGGCGGACAATACTCTCAGTGACTCGCAATCGAAAAAAAGATCTTCCAATCGCTTCATTTGATGACCTCATCCCCTAGTCAGTCTGGCCGACGTCGGCTTCAAAAGAACGGCCCTCTGCCTTCTTCGCCTGCACCAGCGCTTGCTGCCATGCGCGGAAGGCGCGGGCAACAGTATGGAGGACCTCCACGGACACTGCACATTCAATGACGAAACATACCATTCTGGGTGTTTTCTTCTTTTTTGGCCCCCTCTTACTTGGCTAAGTAGGCGGCTACTTAATCAAGTAAGGGCTAGTTAACTAAGTAGCTATGCTACTAGAAAGCTTACTAATGACTGGACTCAGGATAGTTCACGCTTCGTCAAGGAAGCTCCCCCGACTGAGGGCTGGAGGCAGATTTCCTTGAAGAAGCGCTTGCACGATTTATTTGCTTCCTAGATTTTTAGGGATACCAATAGCGATGGCTTCCAACCTACTAGCGATGGCCTCCAACCTAGAAGTGATTTGGTTTCTAGACTTTTAGGGAACACTTAACTTGAGATTGAGTTTACATGGGAAAAATTGCATTGACTGTTTCAAAGCAGGCCATAGAAAATATGTAAACAAGCCCAGGCCCACACTTGGTGTCTTGTCCTTTGATGAGGTGTTTGTTCGCTACAGGCCTATTGCCTGTTGGAATAGGTTTACCCATCTCGTCTGTGTCTCCATGTCTTTCAAGTTGGACGAACGGTACTCACAGTTGTCTGACCTCAGGTTGAAACTTATTTGAGGCAAAGGGATGCACATGGCACATGTCTTACATGATAAAGGTTGCTTGCCTCATCGCACAGATCCGCGTCGTCTGAAAGCATCGGCGATTTGTGGAAAGTATGTCACGCCTGGCATTGACTGATCGAGAGGCTGCCCGGATCAGATTGTACTGTATATATATATATAACTATGCAATTACACAATGAAAAGTCTGGGAACAGGTTGCTCCTGAAAATGTCCTAGGTTATTGGGCCTGTGCTCCAGAAGGATATTGCATCGGCAGTAATTCATGGCGCTCGGGCGTGGTTGAAAATACATGTTGCGTCTAAGCTGCAAAAATTGCAAGACTTGAGTCTCAGCTCTTCGGTTCAGAATTGTCCTTGGAACTGTAATGTCCATCGTGCTTGCAAGTTGCGGGTACCATGCATGTGTAATGCTGTCAACCTGCAGATGTATCGTGTATCTCACTGTGAGCCAAAACTCGGCTAGTACATTATATCTCTAAATGATCGTGGCAAACTCTGATGAATGATAACTCCACTTGGTCGTCTACTGTAACTGTTCAATTCCAGAGGAATTTGGACAACGGTAACAAGAGCATTGTTAGTAGCTAGAAGAAACTAGTAACAAGAAGCTACTAGGTGGAAGCCACCGCTATTAGGTTGGAGGCCATCGCTACTAGTAGCTAGAAGCGGACAAATGTCACATCGGCAGGAATCTGCCCTTTTCTCAGAGGAGCTGAAGCTTCCGACACGCGGAATATCCCCAGGCTCCGGGCAAGCGGTTCTGCCCAACAGGAGTATCTCTAGAATTGGGATGAATTGGACACACATTAAAAATTGCACCCGGCACTCATCCTTCACAGGGGTAATGCCATCTGAGAAAGCTCCGGTGATAATGGCTGCGGAGCTTCCGATGCCTGGCGAAAGCATCTTGGTGCTTCCCATCAACCACTCACCACTTTGTAGCATGCTTTTCAGTAGCAAGTCCAACAATCATATACTCCACCAGCGTTCAAAATGTCCAAATGCTCTGCTGAAAGTCAGACCTATTTCGTACAGCCTTTGCAATGGAAGAACTTCTAACTTCCCTCGGTCCTGGCAGGCAAGGTGAGCAGCGCTCCACAAAGCTCTCCTTTCACACCTGGCAGTTCTTACACCGCTGATGTGCTCAGTGAAACTGCTCATTGAAACGCATGTAAACCAGTGCCCGAGCACATCATGTGCCTGATAGGTGCAACTGCATGCAATAGGCTGGGCAAGAACAATATGATTCACTATGCAAGCTGAAAAGTCAGGTTGTGTAACTGTTAGCAAGCCGAGAACATGCATTTCTTTGTTTCGAAAGAACGCTTCCTTGGGCACACAAAGGTGATAACAAATTTTCGCGTCAAACATGAGCCCATACATGCTCGTGACAATGCGGGAGATACACTCAACACATGCCGCTGCTGCTTCAATGCATCAATCCCTTCGTCTAAGAGCCGCAAGGCTCCCAGCCAGTACCTGTAGAGCTCTGTCCCAGCCACGCCCCTCTGCTGACATGTCTGCACTCTTCTCGCTTGCTCATTTCTCGGCAATTTGCCTGCCCATACCACATGCTCGAATGGCGCAGCCAAGCGAAGTGAGGTTGGCATGACCTGTGAAAGTTCCGCATGTTTCAAGACTTTAAAGAGACAGAATCTGGATGAATCCAGGTTTCAGGGAGCTTTCAGACTTCTGCCCGTCCTTGGAACAAGACCATGCACTGCTCCCATCCACTTGGCTGCAGCGCTGCAAACATTGCCTTGGCTTCTCCCACATACAGGGGAGTTGTTAGGAGGACCCTCCTGTGGAAGCCATCTTCGCACAAGTGCAACTCTGAGGCCGTGCCTAAGATTGCTAAGATCTATCTTCCTGCTGGGAATAAGAGCCTTACTGTTGTCTGCGCGTCTTGTAGCCAATGCTTTGCCTGCGTTGCAAAACACCATGCCAATGTGGCATGGTGCAAATCTTTCGAGCATAGTACTGACTATCTTCGGCTCAACCTTAAAGGGCACCAAGTATCTATATAATATTGTTTTATATATATATATATGCTCGTTGCCCTGACATGCTCTGTATCACCGAGTATACATTTTGCCGAACCCACAACACAAAGTTATCGATCAAAAGGATACAACATGTGCTCGCCTGTGCTCGCGGCGCCAACAGCTGGATCTGGCAGATTACTGACGTTATCGACTACAGAATGAAATCCTCTTCAGCCGCTGTGTTGATCATTCTATCAAACAAAAGAAGACTTTAAATTAGTATTACTACTAAGGAAATTTTCGAATTCTGCTATTTATATACTATATAAATATCATGTACTGTGTATATATAATATGATAAGATTCTAATATATTATATTGCATATTGGTGGAAAAACTAGAGAACCTTGCCTCCAGCAGCACCTGCACCGCTCGTTGCCAATCACGTGCCGCTGCATAAGCTCCCAAGCCTGCGCTCAGCACCTGAATCGTGTGTCAAGTCAGCAGCAATTTCTCTGTGTGCATGACGAAGTCATGTTTCAAGTGAACTCAATAACATGTTTTAACCTAATCCACGTACAGTAGGTGCAAATGTTTGCTGCGAAGTTTCGGTCAGCGCACTACTCTAGCACTGCGAATTTGTAAACAGAATGTGGTTTGGGCATGCAAAGGATGCACAGGTTTGTTACAGCAAGCTCACTCCACATCCCAAACATTCAGAGACACTCGCTGAGACTCTCGCTGAGATAGCATCGTCAGGCTTATCGGCTTGCCTGCGACTCTCGCATAGCGTTGTCTCAATTTCAACTGAACAAACGAGTTGTGTGAGAATAAATCATATTCAGGACGTCAAGATGGTAACACGCTCTTGTATAAGTTGATTTAGAGGGCAGCTCCCAACTCTAAGCTATGTCACAAACCCACCAGGAGCAGCAAGGATCTGCCTTCCCACAATCAGGGGAACAATCTGAAGAGTCCGATGGTCCTATGGCATGGTGCCTGGCAATGCATGGCATAAGTCCTCCGAAAGCCGGAAGCACACACTACTTCAGGACCCCAACCTGCTAGACCCAGCAGGGAATAAGAACTGCTATTCGCCAATTGTCATTCTGATCTCCTAAGCGTTTGGCCTTGCCTCAATGCACTTTCGAGCAGGACTAGTGCCAAATCCTCAGCTTGTTGTGCAAAAAAAATGTAATGCAAAAACCAAAAGAGTTCTCAAACACCGCTTGAGTGCGTCTCAGAACAGCGAAAACCCCAGCCACTGGATGATAGTCGTCCCTTGTCGCTAGTGCACTTTGCCTCTTCCAATGTGTCCTTCAGGACCCCATTACTTTATTGTTTATCGCACACCCACTTGGCAGAAGTGCATCTGTGACATGGACAATACATGGACCCCTTCATCACGTCAAGCACTAAACCTGAGGCAAAGGCCCATCGCTCCGCCTGGTTGCAGGTGTCACCAGTCGCTCTTGAAAGAAAAGAAGCATGTTCAAACCGGCTCCCGTGACAAAGGTAGCTCGCCTTGTTGCACGCAAGCATTGTGGCACTGTACCTACAGTGGATACTAGTGGACACCAGTGCACATGTATTCTCCACCTCTCTCGCGTGCTTGCATTCTTTTCTCTCGTGTCCCCGCGGTCTTTGGCTGCATGGCAAAAGGTCCCCCCCTTCCCGGCGATTGATCAAACTATAGCTGTATAGCCTGACCGATATGATATGCTGCGTGTAGCACTGTGGTCTCCAAGGAAATGTTCAGGTGTGAAGGCCAGTTTTGAGGGCAACATAATGCGAGCAGCTAATACCTACAGCTGTACAGTGTGCAATCAATCACTGAACCTGACCAGACACACTGGTCATGAATTCAGTCTAATCCCCTCGATAAGCAGGAAGGGGCTTTTCCCGGATCCAAACCTCGTCAATGCGCAAGACCGGCAGTTGCTTCGGAAGATGCCACTGACTTCAATTTATCCAAGCCGCATTGACAGCATACTTTTGGGTCTCACAAAGCACCGGCCTGCAGGAAAGTCCATCGGCAGGTTGGTCAACGACAACAAGACCACCATTCTGCAAACAAAGCACATGGCTCGGTGTTCCACAAGGTCTTGAGGACGTCCAGAGCTATCGACCTAAGATCCGTGCAAGACATCTGGTCTTGTGCCCGACTTCATGCGTCTCACTATGCACTGACATCTTAAAACATGGTAGAATAAATCTAATAGAGTCAAGGCAAGGTCGGCTATGTTTTATCCCAGAGAGGCCGTGTAGAGGTGAGGTAGGTTAGCTAGGTAGGTAGCTAGCCAATAGAAGAGGTAGCTAGTAGCTTAAGTAGCTACCAGCATGGTCGCAGGATAGCTCACGCTTGCACTATTCATTTGGTTCCTAGATGTTTAGGAAAACTTAGGTTCTCACTATGCACTGAACAAACTTTAGAGTCTCTTGTCGTTTGCCAGGGGACATTGGGCCACACAAGTGCTGCCCCTGCTTGTGGTGAGACCTGGATTCCCAGCCTCGAAAGTGTGGCCAACTCCGCGAGGTGACGAGCACCATCAAACTAGAGGCTACGAACGGAGCAAAGGGCATCGCTACTAGGAGCAAGAGCGCTACTAGGGGCTCCTGGCCCTGCTACTAGGAGCAAGAAGCTACTAATAACGTCCTTGCTCCTAGTAGCGATGCCAGGAGCCCCTAGTAGCGTCCTTGCTACTAGTAACAAGGCATCGCTACTAGTAGCAAGGACGCTACCAGTGGCAAGGAAGCCATGGGGATGAGCATTCCCTAAGTTGAGCCTGTGTCCCACCTTGATTCTGAATTTGCTGCTGGACTTGTGGAGATCTCAAGAAAGCAAACGCAAAGCCCACTACAAAAGGGCGTTGCCTTTCGAAAGAAGTCTCACCACCACAATCTTTAGGCAGCGTATTCAAGTAGATCCTCAGCTTTGGGCTTCACCCATTAACGAAGTCTAGCAAATGTGCTCAACAAGGTCCACAAGGTCATGGGGCAAGTGTCAAGGCCGTAGCGGTGCGTTGCCCACCCAACCACAGGCTAGCATCTTGCTTCCGCCCCCAATCCACATGAGTACCTGGTAGCTGATGCTAGTAATGTGCAACATAGTGCAACATCTCCAGGTTGAAATGGAAGACGTTCAGTAGCGTGGCACTTGTTACTAGAAGCGATGCACTTGTTCCTAGTAGCAAACCTTGTTACTACTAGTAAGGCACTTGTTACTACTAGCGTGGCACTTGAGTGTCGGCAAGCCACTGTATTGTTCGCCTTTCTGGTAGCGCACGAGCTGAAGTGCCTCCACTGTATCCTGGGACAAAGGAAGAGATGGCAGCTTGGCTGCTTACCGCGCTTCCTTTTAACGAAAAAGCAGCTACCTTGAGGTTTTAGAAAGCATCATTCTATGTGTTTCACCAGGCAGACAACTCAAAAAAGGAAGCATGGCTCTTTGCTCTTTCTCAGTCTTACTCGACTCTATTACTCTTAACATCAACACAAAGAGTCCTACTCTCAGTCTTCTCACCTCTTAACCAAGAATCTTCAGGTACTTTCAGCACCTGAGAGGCCCATGATCGAATCGCCTGCACTTTTGCAAGGTGGGGAAGGAACGACCTTCTTGAAAGAGCGAGTTGAAGAGCACAAAAGAGATCCATGACTCCACAACACAACCTAAGTGTTTTTTGTGTTCTACAATGAGTCTTGTCTGGGGGGTGGGTCAAAACCTGGAGCAACAACACGATGCAGCTTGACCTTCCAGGTAGGTCAACCAAGGTCTCTGGTTTTTTGACCCAGAGATCTAAGCTGGCAACACCCTAATGAGCATCCACAATCAGGGCTTATTGCTCTTTCACACTGCGTCAAGTCTTCGGCACCTTCACAGGAGGTTCCTGGAACATGCGAGGAGCGCTTAGAACCGCCTGGGAGAACATCAGAGCAGCACTATATTGATGCAGTCTGCAGTTACTTGTGCCATAAAGATCAAGCCACAGAAGATGAAGTCCGTAGCGCATCCTGGACGGACGAGTTTCTTTAGCAAGCTGCAGACTTCCCACTCTCTCTCTCTCTCTCTCCCACCCACCCAGCCTCACCAGCAGCGGTGCGAGCCCCACGGCGGCTAGACTGCCACCAAAGCTTGGATTCATCGGCCAAGCGAATGAGTTCCTACACTCTTCTCATGGAATATGAATAACTCGAAACAAATGGAATCAAAGTTCGCCCATGCCTGGCTCTGTTCTGGCGTGACCACATCAGGAACCAGGACAACTGGTGGGTTCTTGAGCAGATGCTTGCCATCCAAATTGCGAATGGCCTCTGAGGACAGACCAACAATGAATAGTGAAGCCTCAAAATACACAACCAGACTAGTTTTGAAACAAGACACTACAAAAAGGAAACGTGTTTATTGATGTATGACAAAGTTAAAGTGAAGTCATTTCTACAAAATCCCATAAGACTAGCATCTATGCCTCTATCCCTCAAAAGGTACCACCTCACCACTACCACTCATGACCACTTCACAGGTGGTACCACTTCAAAATACAGGATCAAGATTGCGGGCTCGACCCAATCACTACTCCACCAGTAAATTCTCGTGCTCCACCAAAACTCAATCCGTTCGTTCGAGCCTCCAACATGGCCCTTGATTCTTTCCTCAGTTCCAAATGCTGGTCACTCATCCTCGACGGGTTCTTTGTGGTTCTTTCGCTCCCCAAATCTGCTGAGCTTCTCTGCAGCAACCTCACTTGCCTCGCCGAAGAGCTCTGTCCTTGGTCATCGAGGATCCCTCCCCAAGTGAAGCGAAAAAAAAACGGATCTGATTGCAGATCTATATTCAACTTGAGGCCGGGGGTTGGTGACGAGTTGGTGACGAAAGCTAGCTCAATCTACACATGGCCCTTAAACGGATGGGGATGCGCGGCATGATGTGAAACATAATTTGGTCCCAGAACGAATGCTGTCAAAACTATTATGCGCCCAAATCTGACACGTCCAAGAGTGGAGTTGAACCCGGGAAAGAGGGGGGAAGGGGTCTAGCAGTGGATAATTCACTGGGCAGGCGATCTCCCAGCCAATAACTTGCCAAAGCAAGAGTAACTCCAGCTGAAGCTAGCTTTCGTGAAGAACCCGCAAGACTGACCCTCTAGAGAGCGGTTTTTCGCCCTTCTGGACCCTCCAACAAGTAGCTTGATCCAGCTTCCAAACCACCGTGCTTATCTGTGTGGATCTTCTTTGGTTCTAGCTATGGACCTGTGGGCATCGCTCCATTGCTAATTCTGTATGATGGTTGGGTTTTCGTTGCGCTTATTATGATTGTTTGTCACAGCGGAGTAAGGAGACAACGTAGACTATATAGACTCTAGATTACCATATGTCTGGGTGGACCGCAAAAGTTTGTCTGTAGCAACAAGTGGCTCGTTTGAAAAAGAATTGCGTTGGTGATCAATCTGTCTATGCTTGTTATGTGGAGAGGGGATAGACATGATGAGCACCTGAGAAGGAGGCGAAAGCCAGCTGCCGCCAGACGAGTGTCTCTTTTTCTGGCGGGCGTCGCGGCACAAGACACATGGTCGGCAGCTTGCGAGTCAGCGGTGCCGCGGATGCGGAGGGGCGTATGTAATGGTCATGGAGGGAGCAGAGAAGCAAGCCGGGCGGCTTTGGGATAAGTTTGGTATGAAAGAAGTAGTGAAAGAGAAATGTGTAGGTCATCATGCAGGAAGGTATGCATCTTATGGGAGTTGGAAAGCGACATCGTCGTTAGCGAAGGGGAAATACCGTCTGAGATTGAGTGGTGGGATACCACGCGCGCGCGCGCCTCCATAGTCAGCGTCGCCGCGGCGCGCGCGCGAGTACGGCATGCAATTGAAAAGAAGCAAGTAATTATGCGTTTGTTACATTTGGGGTGTTTGAAGTTTGCAACGCATACTGCGGCACGTCGAAAAGCGGCATTTTTTTGATTTGGAAGAGTGAACGGGCACGTCTTAGCCGGGACACGGTCGTGAGGTGGTATCAGGTGGTGTGGGCTGTGGATGTGGTCGATCGCCAGGTCCAGGAAGTAGCCTCAGAGGGGTAGCCACCAAAGAATCCCGGTCAGAAGGTGCATGAACGGAGGCAGGAGGCGAAACAGGTGCGCCGTGTGAAGTGGCAGGAGGAGCTGTTGTTTGGTCCGCCACGTGCCGGTATGGCTCCCGTAGTCTGTCGCGATGCTGGCTGGAATGACCAGATCTGGGGCGGTTGGGTGTGCGACGATGCTCCTGGGGCCCTCTTTGGTGTGTGCGAGAGCGGCGTCGCCGAGAATGTGAGCGGCGACTGCGACGGTCGCCCCGTCGGGAGCGTGATGCTGCATGAGAGCGGAGACTAAGCAGTGGGTCAGATCTGCACGGGTTAGATCGCATATGAGCATCCGACAAAATTATTGGAATACTAAATATGTAAGAGGCCGCCCTGTGCTCTTGAGAGGTGAAGCATTCCTTTGGCAACCGATAGGGGACGACCCAACACCGATACCCCTATAGCTACCAAGATTGTCTATGTTAGCGTTGGTACTGTGATGGCTGTGCATTGGAATTCAAGGTGCTTTTCAATTAGTAGTTTTGAGCCTTAGTGGGTTGTCCCGCGGCGCAGAACAGGAGGTCCAGCGGGAGAAGGTTGGGCTAGCCAAGGAGTGAGGATTTGTGCGCCTATCGACGCACATGCCTGGACTTGAGTGAGTCATGTTCTGGCTCGATCCAAAACACAATCTTTTTCCTTTAAAGGGGCCTTTATTAAACGATCCGAACACATTCTTTATTCTTCTCTTTCTTATCAACTCTGCGCCTTTCTCACTCAGAGGCCTTGACTTTGGCACTTGCGTGCGTAGATCTTTGGGCCGTGGACCCAGGCTGACTGGATTCGGCCGGGGCTGCCAGCAAAAAGGCGACGTCATGAGTCAGTAGTATATAGAATTTATATATATATATATATCTATCTATCTATCTCTCTCTCTATCTCTCTCTATCTATCTATCTATCTATCTATCTATGTATCTATCCATCTATCTATCTATCTATCTATGTATCTATCTATCTATCTATCTACCTATCTATCTGCACCGGCAAGCCGGAAAAACGTTCGGTGCACGTGGGCGCCGCGAGAAGCATCCGCTCGACCGAGG